ATTTTACTTTAAAAGAGTTCCGATTATACGTAAATACTTTAGGAATTAGTATTAAAACTACTTTTATTAAAGTATATTAATCTATTAGACTTATTAAACGTTACTATAGTCTACTTTACTATGCTTATAATATCTTAGTATAGGAGATTCTAGACTTACTAAAAGATATTATACTATAAATAGTAGTAAAAGCTATTAATAATACTATAGGACCTAATAAACTTATACTAATATTACTAGTTTTTAGGGCTTATCTAAAGATATAATAGTTTAAGTTACTATTAACTATAGTTATAAAGCGCTCTAAAATAAGGTAATAGTAGAAGTACATAAGATTAAAGTAAAGTAATAGGTTAATAAAGTATTAAATACTTAGAATAGTCTATCTAATTAAATTAAGGATCTACTTCTTAGAACTAAGGTTTAGGTATAACGTGTATAAGAAGTAGTAAAGACTATATATCCTATAAGGATATAAAGGAAAAGATATAATTATTAAGATTAAGGGTAAACTAGTTTAATATTAATCTATAGTTATTAAACTATAATATATAAATGAGAATATATCTAATTTTTAGGATCTACTAGATATAGACTTTAAATATAGAGATATTATAAAGTATTTTAATAAGTACTCTAATAAAGATTAACTAAAGTAAGGTTATAGATAACTATAAAAGACTATAGCTATTTACTATACTAAGGTACTTCTAGTTTATAAAGAAGGTAATATTATAGAACTAAAGTACTAGGTATATTTTATAGATAATAGTATAGTATATTTAGTATTTAATAATTCTACATAAATTAAGATAAGTAGATTAACTAATAATAGAGTCTTTAAGGTTATTACTATTAATTAACTACTACTAAATACTTATATATTTAGTTCTTAATTTATTAATACTATTAGGAATAAGAGTACTTCTAAGGTATTTAAGAAATCTAGACTTATAATTAAAGTATTTAATAATAATAGAAAGTCTTTAGTTTTAATATAATTACCTATAATCTAAAAGGTTAGTATATAAATTAAATTATTATTCTACTTATAGTAATTAAGTTCTATAAGGATCTAATAATTAAACTCTAGCTATAAGATATTTTTTAGGTATATACTTAATTAATAATAAACCTTAATCGCCCTATATTTATATAAAGACTAAAGAGTAGCCTATAATAAGAGAAATTATACTTTAAGATTATTAAACCTCTATATAGTATCTCTAAATCGGGTAACTACTAGTATAATATATATATTAAATACTATAGGTTATATAGAAACTAGATATATAGTAATCGACCTATAATTCCTACTTACTCTATATAAATAAGGTAGGATTTTAAGGTGTAATTAGACTTTAGACTAATAATACTTTTATCTTTAGTAATACTACCTATATAAATAAGAAGAAGGTAGAGTTAGCTATATTTAAATCTAAGTCTACTAAAGAATTAACTCTAAATAAACCTTTAAAATTTAATAGTAATAAGATTACCTTAGTAAAAGATAGTACTATTATACTTACTTATAACTATAGAGATTAAGTTAAATTAGTAACTAATAGAGTTACTAATATTATTAGCGCTTATAATATTATTTATAAGGATTATTCTATAAAGGATTAATATATTACTTAATAAGTACTAGGAGCTTATATAGCTATAGTATACTAACCTAAGGTAATATTTAATTTAAGTATTATAGTATAACCTCTAAACCTTAAGAAAAGTAATATTAATATATTACATAAACGATTTTAATAGTTAATTAATAATCTAAAGTATAGACTTAAATATATACCTTTAGATATTAACTTACTAAAGCTTATATTATTTATAAATACTCCTTTTATAAATTTGACTAACCTTTCCTCTTAAATAAGCTATATTTTATACTTAGTAGATAAGGATAATTATATAGTTATTTTATACTAGAGTTCTATAATATATAGATAAATTATATAAAGTATATTAGTATCTAAGTTATATACTTTAAGTAAAAGGTTTAATATAGTAGAGGTTATTAAGTTAATACTAGAGGCTATCTTAGGTAAGATACTTAAATTAACGATTTATATAGATTTTAAGTTAATATATAAATACTTAATAAAACTTAGTATAATAAAGAAGAAGCGTCTTATAATTAATATAATAGTATTACGCTAGGTATATAAATAATATAAAATCTATAAGATCCTTTAGATTAAGGAGACTATAAATCCTACTAATACTATAATAAAATTAAAGCTCTACTAGGTA